CTACCACAGAAGTGACTGCTAGTGCAAGGAACGTGGGCAATGACTGGTTGACCAGAAGATGATTCGGGTGTTTCCTTTTAGATACTTTGATTTCAGAACACCTCAGCAATTCCTGGCTCAACGATCTGTTCAAGAAAGGACACTCACCGGATTCCACTATCGTTCCAGTCATGTATTTAACCATCTCTTCCTCGTGTCACTGGACGCGAAACAGACCATTCTAGGGCATACTTTCTCCAAGCCAATGAGACCATTGTCGGCTTGAACCGAGGAAAGCTGATTACTGATTATTGATTACGGCTTGGAAACAGCAAGAAGAGATATCTCTGTGTAGCTGCATCTAATATCACTCAGGGACAAAGACCCGTTGTGTTGGAGTGCGCTCGATAAATTTTTTTATCGGCAAAGTGATTGTCCAGGAATTTCTTAAATTCCGACACTGACTTTGCCTCAACTACATGCTGCTGCGGGTTGTGCCATACATTCGCCACTCTCCGTTCGAAACAGTTCCTAGGCGAATTGCTTCAAACCCGGTACTACAAGCTTGTACCGGTGTCCTCGTGTGCTGCTTGGTGTGTGCAGATGCAGCAACGGCCTCAACATAGGGCACTCACCCAGATGTAATATCTGATGCGTCATATTGTGGTCAACCCGCATTCGACGATAAGCTAGGGTGCAAAGCCCTAGTCTCTTACACCGGTCTTCGTACGGCACACCTCGTAAATTGGGAATCAGCCTGGTGGCCACATGCTGCACTCGCTCAATCTTTTCTACCTCGCCCCGAGGGATTGGACAATACGCGGGAGAGCCATACTCCAAACTTGGTCGTATTATTGAGACGAAGGGGCGAGTGGCAATCTCTTCGGACCAGGAGCTGACGCTGCGCCTGAGCGCCCAAAACAAACGAAGGGTGTTTTGGTAAAGCCTATTCGTGTTGTTCATGGACCTTATGTCGTAGCATGAGGGTACATCGAGGTCTCGGACGAAAGATGCGCGATGCAACGGTTGACTGGCCACAGTGTAGGCTCGACTGTGCTCACACTTACCCAACCTCATGATTTGCGACTTGAGCGGGTTGATCGGAAGGTTGACCTCTGCAGACCACATGGGGAGGCGTTCGAGGTCTTGTTGAAGCAGGTCACGGTCATTGGGTGCGCGGATTATTCTACACACCTTCAAGTCGTCTGCAAATAACACACAAAATGAACGGCGTAGCTGAGGCACATCATTTTAGATCCATCAAGACCGAGCACCTCATCAATTCTGGCTTTAACGATCCGCTAAACAAGAACACTCACGGGATTCTCCTATCGTTCCAATCCTACCTTAAACTGAACTTCAGCCTACCTCAAGTATTGCTTTTATATCCAGGTGGCCTAGGGCATCTGCGTCCTGAACTGTTTTGATGAACACGAGGCTTAGCTGCCGGTTTAGCCATGTGCCTATTTGTCCGTTGTGTGCGTATATGTCGTTTGGCAATACTGCGCACAGCTGGATAAACTACCAAGAATATCATCCATTGACTTAGCTATGAATTGTCGATTGGAGTTTGGTGCAAACCATCCTAGATGAGGTGCTTGGAACCGGTCATCTCCGTGTTTGTCTACCATAACTGATATTGTTCAGTCGTTAAGCTAGCTATTTATGCTGTCACATTCGTTCCCTCACTTCTATCTCTTTCTATTCTATCTGATTTTAGTTCTTGTAGGTTCCTTTCTATCTGTTCTCTTTCTTCTCTGCATTACAACATAGAACATGGCAAATATCTCTATCGCACCTTAGTTCGCTCGGATCCTAACCTGTGTCACAGTCGTGTCCAATGTATTTGGTTGTCCCGAAATCAATCAAATTTTTAGCACATTTTCCCACTCAATATTTCTTTTAAACAAGAAAAAATATTTAATCAACTTAACATCCATTGTTATTGAGGACGTACTGCCAACGCTCAGGCAAGTTGTCGATGCCTCTCTCAGCGAACGAGCTGGGCTGGCTGTCAAAGTATTGGACAAGGTATGTTTCGATATGTTTGCGATCATGGAATCTCTTGTGCTTGATGGGATTTTGCAGCGAATGGAAAACCTGGTAACCAATAGGAGCAAAGTCCGGGCTATATGCTAGATGCATAAAAGTTTCGATACCGAGCTGCTGAATTTTGAAACGCCTCATCTTTGTCACATGAGGACTACGTTGTCATGGAGGAGAATGATTCAGGTCGCTTTTGGACACTTTTTCGGTGTTAGTCGATCATCTTTTACAATTGTTGTCAGTAGACGTCTTCAGTAACAATGGAGTTGTCAGGTTATAATTCCCAATAGATGACGCCGCGACGATCCCACCAGACTGACAGGAACACTTTTTTGTCGTGCAGTTCGTCTTTCGGGACTTGTACTGGCGTTTCATCTGCTGCAATTCACTGACGCTTCCTGCTGTGGTTGACACGGAGCACCCACTTCTCGTCTCCAATAGCGACATCGTCCAGCCATCAATGATTGCATCCTCTCGTGAGCAATGAAAGTGCGACGGCACAACGGTTCGAAGGCTGCTCATCAATCAATTCGTGTGGTACAAGTTGTTCGACCTTTGGGATTGGCGCAGATGGCAATGGACGGTGTTTTTTAGAAGGCCCAGATGTGACGAGACTTCACCCACACTTTGACTCGGATTCGCGCTTAGAGTATCCTGGATACTGCTGTCAATGTCCACCGGCTTACGTCCTTGACCTCCGATGTTGGACAAATCGTACTTGCCTACTTTGAATCGGCGGAACCAAAATGCCAGTATATCGTAACTCGAAATATCCGTTCCTAGTACGCCACGCATGTTTCGACAAGCCTCCATTACTTTGCGCCCATGTAGGTACTCGTGCAATAAGCATCCGCGAACAGCATGTTGGTCGTTAGCCAATACCGCAACCACTGCTAAAATGTAGAATAAATGGATAAGGTTCAATTGTTGCTCCAGTGGGTCCTCGTATATACCCAAATAAAAGAATTTCCCAAAAGCTTCGCGAAAAATCTGAAATGGAATGCAAAAAAATTCGATTGATTTCGGGGCAACTTCATAACAGTGGCTTTTTATCAGACTACCGAGTTTAAGCGGCATCGGACCATAGCGAGTTTGCATGGGTCATTGGCTGGGATGATCGAATGTTGCTTCCGTTTTGGATTCGTGGATTATTAAGTCAGGTATCTAGTTTGCAATTGTTGGCAGTCCCCGCCCCGACTTTACCTTGGTTTCTGAACTACTGTTTGGGGCTGTATAGCAGCGATGTATAAGTTTGCGGCGCTGGAACACGACTGACCTAACTACGGATCCCCACTGGAGTCATAAATGAAATGATGGTATATTTGAAACAGATAGCAGCTTTTAAAAGCTTTCCCGTACGCAACTGCTTTTATGAGATGTCGTAACTCTATGAGCTGGCCCGACCCTCACTTCGGAGCTGGCCTCGGTTGGAGCTTCACAGCTCCCTGTTTGGGGTCCAAAAGACAATGAACACGTTTGGCTAAATGCACTTGCTGACACAGCAAGGAGCCGACCTCAGTGACGTTCCTGCTGTGAGTTTTCGTCCCTTCCCACCCCTTTTAGCCTCCCCTCCAACCACGATCTCATTTCGTAGCATAATATAATTTTACATAATAATTTTTATTCTTGCTTAGTAGCTGGCTGGTAGCTTACCGGAACGATGCTCATCCGTTGCTGGTAGCTCAGCTGGCATTCAACTGTTGTATTTATTTTTCTTTTATGTAGTGCAGCACAGTAGCTGAGGTGTTTCCCACCTCTGGCTAACGTGTATACTGATGATGATGATGGGCTAGCTCCCTTCTTTGCGGTGTTTGCACATCACACATCACTGACAGATGTGTCGCGCTATATAGTAGTTGGCTTTTTAAGCCATGGCGGTCCGGTGCCATCATCCATGGTCTTGTTACATAAATTGCTGACTATTGCGCTAATGTTGAGAGGCAGTGGGTTCGGATTCTGGTGCGGCCGAGGAGTGCGCACTGCTGACGAGTTCTATAACGGTTTGAACGAGGCTAGCACAACATACAAAATGCCTTGGTGATGGGGAAATACGCTCTGTTGGTCTAACAGCGGAAGCACATGGGCTGAACTGTAGTAGTGCTGGCCATGATGCGATGAGTAAAGGCCAGGCGAGCGAATGAAAAAGCATTACTACGACATCCTGGTGGAACGTATTGCCCGATTGGTGCTTTTCTGCATGCGTAGAAGACACTGGGTTTTTGTGAAGATTCGTCGTAGTTAGACTCAGGCAGATAGCCACTACCACATATTCAGGAAACTGCTAGACGGTTGTTTCGTCATATTGGGACTCCTCAGTAGCGCTCACCCTCCGAATCCTGTCTGGTTCGAACCCACGACCTTACTCTTAGAAGGCAGCGATTTGTGCCGCCAAGCCATTGGTGACGGCAGCGGACCGCCACGACTGCTATATCACTGCGACATATCGCGACTCATTCTCCACTGTCATGCATGCTATGAAGGTGCAGAGGATAGGGCGGTACCGCAGAGCAACGACTTCCTTTACAAGCCACTACCAATCGACTCGGGATGTAAACTACTAAGGTGGTTAATGCTTCGATGAGTCTTCAGGAAAACTATCGGACTTGTAAAGTACTGGGATAATCCTTTACAATGTGTCCGGAATACGCAAATTTCGGTGAATAACCTGCTATTAGTTCGGTCTTCATATATAGAACTTATGAAGACGACGAACACATATGTTTAGCACACTCGTCGCAACCGATTTTCATCAGACAATCACCACATGTCCAGACGGTTGAGTCGTCCTATTGGGGCTCGTTTTTATTCCCGTTTGATTTGAGGCCACCGCCCTATTTTACGAGGTTGCAGTTTAAACCGTAGGTGACAGCGACGAGCTGTCATGATTAGCTGCTGGTTATATCATATCCGTCCTCCACCGATTTGGTATTCCTATTATTCGAAAAGTATTATAACCTACATTCCTTTATTCGTAGTCCTTTCGGATTGGCTGGCGGTGTGTTTACCCGAGATCTACGCACCGCTCACCGAATCGCCGCAGAGCTGCAATGCGGCACCGTCTATGTGAATACCTACAACGCCTATCCGCCCGGTATCCCGTTCGGTGGCTACAAGCAGTCGGGGTACGGTCGTGAGAACAGTCTCGACACACTGCTCAGTTACACCCAGTTGAAATCGATCTACGTTGAAGGGGGTTCACTTCCTAACCCTTTTCCAACCTGAAGTGACGTTGCCACCCAACAAGTGGAGCAGCTTCGTGTCTGCTTAAAGATATGGATGCACCAATAGAAAGATGTATACTGCGTGCGTGCGTGCATCGATCCGTCTTCCCTGGTTATCGATTGGTGAATTTGGTTTATCCACGCACCCTCACGTGACTCGGTCCAAATTACGCCCATACGTTATATGCCCCTTTTGTGTGCATGTATCCAGTGCTTACATTCCACTTGTACTAAATGCCAGTTTTACTGTACAACCGTGTCTATTTATTTTGCTTAAATGTACATTTACGAAGCCTATTTTGATTATCACTTTGCTCGTATCTTGCTAATCCGGTTTATGTGGCTATCGATCGTGTGATACTGCTTTGAAAATTTTTTCTTGTCACTCCTTAGTGCCACTTCATTGGATAGTGTTGTAATTTACGATTCCTCTTATTTTGACCGGATTTCTTGGAAACATTTTATGGCATTGATACATTTCTTCGATTCTATTTGGTCAAATAGGCCGTCGAAAGGCATTGCGTTCAGTTAGCCTTTCTACCGGACAGCTATTAATGATAGTGTCCAAAAAAGGTTAATCGTCTGAGGATAATCCATTATTTCGGTGGGAAAGCGACTGCATCCAATGGTGTACAGTTAAAACATCACTTCTCTTCATTAACACCCAAATACATCACGTGATGTGCGTACCTACCTTCTTCCTCCTCAAGTCAAGTCACTCAAGTCAAGATAATATATGTGTAGGAGCGCTGCTTAGGTGCGGAGTCCGAAAATAGCCATGTCCCGTCGTCCTTACTGGATGTTAGAAATAAAATCTTGTTGGTATCCCAATGATATATTTGGGGAGGCTCCCGAAAATACACTACGACAGTAAGGCAGAAAGATTGCACAGGGAAAACACAGGTGGTGGTTGGCTAGATGGTATAAGCCAGAGTTCAAAGTAAGTTGTCCATTGATTGTATACACATCAATAGCTTTTGAATGATGTGATTAGAGTCACATGATTGTGGCTAGTATCTTTCCTATGCGAAGAGAAATAAGCTAAAAATAGCAAAATAAGTTAAAGCTCCTACATATGTATTCAGAACTGTAAATTTCTAGGAATGGAAAAATGAACACTTTACAGGTATCAATTGAATAAACGGTTCATACAAACAAGCAACAATTAATCATTTTCGGACAGGCAAATCTAAAGCTGCATTATGTTGACAGGAGATCATTACAAGCTAGATTTCCAATCGGGCCGGTCCATTTTCAAGTGTGCATCGTTTTTCTCGAAAAGTATGCGAAGAATAGCAGTAGTGACCTTGTACATAGTTTGACAAAGTGAATGTTGAAATATTACGAGGATTCTAATTTATCCATAGCAATATTGTAAAAGCGATGTTCAGTGAAAACGGCGTGACCGACTTAAAGGTCCCCATCACGACATCTCACCTAACTGTACGGAAATATGAACATTCCTGGTTTGACATACGAATACTCGGTGTACTCATAAGCAAGGGATTTTTGATACTTACTTTATTGCGACAGGATGAGCCGACTTCATGAATTGCAGCTGCCTAAGTGCGGCGATCGGTGACAAATCCACGCAGATACTGATCCAATGGTTCCTCCAGTGAGAAGCACCATGCACAACATGGAGTCCCAGAAGATCGACATCCAATTTCACTGCAGTGAGCCATATTTTCAATTGTCCACCATGTCGACGACATCAACCCTGGCAAGATGAGGGTAAAACCACGGCCTTAGTGAAGTCAGTGTCTGGTCTGCAGTGAACGTGACCGAATCGCGGAAGTCTGCGGCTTTGGATGAGCATTGTGAGCTTCGGAATACCGTAACAGCGCTAACGGATTTCGTTATCAGTGATACGCTCGTGTCACTGCGTTTTCAAGATAAGCCTTAGACACCAATGATCGAAAACTTCCAGCTTCCGGGTGTCTTCGGATTTTGGCTGCGATGTTCCGCAACCATAGAGTAAAATTGCACGAATGGTTGCTGAAAATACTTGGATCTTCGTTCTCAGACTAATTTCGGTCCTTCTCCACAATGTGTTTATCAGTTGTAAGTAGGCTGTTCTTGCGCTGTCAATACGAGTCCGGATTTCGGATGTATCCTGATCATTGAAGGGATTTTTGATGCAATTATATGATTCTTTATCGCAGCAGTTTCCAACTCAGATAGTCCTCCACATGCCTGAAAATCTACTAGGCGGCCGTTTCGACCTATTTGCTTAGAGGCGGATCACCAGCCCAAAATCGCCTCAGCATCGCATGCTGTCTGCTAGACCTTCCTCTTAGTCTTTGATTCCGGTTGAAATGATCTCGTTCTCTGCAAGCTGCGAACCCAACTCACTCGGAAAGCAACATTTGGAAACAATGCGTGTTTGAGGGTTCGCTACTGCAACGGATAGAAGTAGTGTGGGAGTTGCTGACTTTTTATACCATTAATCGCAGGTTTATCGCACCAACTTGCAAATCAGATAGTCCACTACACGCCCGGAAGAGCATTAGACTGCAGTTTCAACCTGTTGAGCATCATCAGTAGTGCGCATCCATCGGATCCGAACCCAGACCACCAGAGGCTTGAGCCACCAGTCAGCAGCTTATGCCAGTGAGCCATGGGAGACAGCGGCGGAACGCCGATAACTGCTACATTGTGCTGCGTATCCTTCACTGCGGTACGAGTCACGAACGTTGCAGTGGACAGGGTTTGACCCCTATGCATGACGTCCACTGATAGTTGCTATTTCCTGCATGACACCTAGCAACTGTTAGACTGCATATTTTGTAAACTCATGAGTAATAGCTTTTGGATGTAATTAATTCTGTGTTTGTCACACTTTCCAACTCAGCTAGTCATCTACCCACCCAGCCCCAGCCTGCAGTTTGTATCTGCTAGTTATCATCAGTAGTCTACATACATCAGGATTCAAACCCAGACCACTAGCAGCTTACAACGCCGGCCAACACGTTATACCACTGACCCTTGGGGGAAAGCGGTGAGCCATCATGATTCACAAGGTAATTGCGACTTAGTACGTGCCGTGCAAGTAACGAACGCTGCAGTCAACAGGAATAGAATCCTGATGGATACGAATTACTGACGAGACTCAATAGGTCGAAACGGCCATGTAGTGCCTTTCCGAATATGTGGATATCTATCCGACTTGGAAGCGGTTGCCATAAATCTTCACTTAGTCATATCGAAAATCCCAATTCATGAGCACATCAGTATGTTCGCCTTAACATACATAGGTACTGTCAGTGGAAATCGCGTTTCGGGGCCATTCCAGTCCTCTGCTGCCTTCGTAGCTTGCATGGCAGTAGATAATGAGACGCACTATATCGCAGTTAGCTTGTAAAGCATGACGGTCTGCCGCTATCCCGCATGGTTCGGTGGAATAATCTGCTAGCTGACGGTTCAAGTCGTTGGTGTCATGGTTTCGGATCCAACCAAGACTTCAGAACTCGAGGTTGCCCAAAACGCGGAAGGCGTGGGATGTGCAGAACACAGCGGAAAAGACAGTGCGTGTAGGCTGATGAACCCAAGCGGGTCGCATTGGGTGTTCGACGAGAACTGGGGGATGAAAAGCATCCACGATAGAACGGTGGTTGGAAGATATGTATGGCATGAACTGTAAACGCCAAACATGCCTCCAGGATTGATTCAATGGACAATGAATGACCGGCACTGAGACGACCCCACCAGTAACGTTAAAAGCCACAATTGTTGGACTACGCTGCCATTTTTACAAACGAGAAATTTGACAATTACAACATGGTTTAACGATTTTCCAAGCAAATGGGTGAAGCGGTCCCTTAAACAGCAGGATGGCAATGCCGTCACAAATACCACAAGCAATATGAAGTGGCGACAATGTCGGTGTGAAGTTGATATCATTGTCAACGGACTAATCAGAAGGCCACAGCCACGGACCAATCACAAGGCTTTAGGGAGTCTGGAGTGGTAACAGCACAATCCAGCCTTGATCCGCCAGTCATACCAAGCCAGACATGCTAGTCCTGGATCTAGGACAAAGCGCGAGGCAGTAGCAAATGGTGTGTCAGACATACATAGGGAAGTCAAATGTAAGCACGATGTGGCAACTGAGCACACAGCGAGAGGTGGCAGGGGCACACAGAAAAACGATCAGTACGATTGACATCAAACAATGGAAGATCATGATACTGGTTGTATGGATGCAACTAAGCCTTCAGTCTGGGGAACAAAGAGCACACAGGAATGGGTATCAAGTGTGTAGAAAGGCAGCCGCTTTTCAAGTATACTTGTGAATTCAACCAACGGCGGGTTATGGGCTTTGGGTCAAGTGTAGAGCGATAGCAATTGAGCAAAAATATCCTTTACATGAACTACATCACTATTCATCCTCACTGCCCAAGCTTCATTTTTACTTTAGAATAGCTGTTCCATAATCATTGATATCTAGTTTCCTCGAAAACTCATCGGTGAACGACATCCTATATTAGCGCTGTTCCATGAGAATCTGTGAATAGCAGAGAAGGCATCGATAGTACACAGTACCGACGCTTCACTGTCACGTAACAGCCACCAGTGGCATGCTGACAAAGGACACTGCAATAGTGGCGCGGCCCCTAGGCAAGCTCGAACCCCCGCTTTAGAATTACAAGGCAGACTTTTGATCCTTAAAACTATGGGCCCTTATCTATGACCGGAAACAACCGATACCTGAATGCCAGTGCGCGATGTTCTCAGTGCGTTCTGTCGTAAATCTCACTGTTCCTCCGTGGCATTGTGTACTCGGCACTTCCGACAGACACTGTAGGCACGCCCGCACCAGAAGTAACGGAGTTTGGTTGAAGTGTCCTTCGTTTTAAGGACTCTCTCAAAGATTTCTTTTGTTCAGCCCACGACACGGTTGCGGTCCCGGAGCTAAAAGAATTTGTCGGGCAACTGGGAAACGTAATGACAAGAGTAACTTCTGTGTACTTTGCAATGCTCTCCCTAAAATGTGGGGCAAGCACGTCTAAGAAACGCCACATTTGTCCAGTAGTTTACACTGAATGTTATCCATATGGAAGATGAATAAGGATGGTGATACACGGATTCACTGACTTTTCCCATCGATGATAGTAAAAGTGGGATAGATCACCATACAACAGTATATCATGCGAAGGTGGACTTGCTAACTTACTTCCCGGATATCCTCATTGCCCAGCTACAGGGTATTTTTTACAGCGCGTCCACCAAATATGTCAATAGCAGTCCATATATCTAAGATGGTAGCAGTGTTTTTCGTACACCAGGTTTTTGATTAGTTATCAGAAAGTGATC